TTGTAAGAAAATCACAAAACTGCATTATTTATTTTGGCCATGTCATGCAGGGGAATTCATTGGAAAAAGCAATTATATTTTGAAGAATTAGCAGTAAAAGGAAACCAGGTAGCCAAAGAACACAGTGGTTGGACACCGTCAAAGCTGATACCAGTCAGAGAAATAGTGCAGAAAATGTGGAGAAACCTGGCCCATAGCATCGCCAAGAGTCAGATACAACTGAGCAGATAACATATCATCATCATTGTCATAAGATGTATGCTGTTCCATACAAAACTATCTTTTGCAATTGACTGATGGTTATTTTGTCAATTCCAAGGATGCTCCAAAAGTGTTGGGACTCCACCCAAAGTGCTGATTACTATTGGGACTACCTTTGCTTTCTTTTGCCAGTTACTTTATTTTTATTTGCAGGTTATTGTATTTTATGACTTGCTTCAGTTTTTTCTCTTCTATTCTGCTGTCTCTAGGTATCAAAATTTCCACTATCATAGTTAGTAATTATGGGGTGTTATGTAACAGCAGCTTTCTATTTCAATTCTATTTCAAAATCACAGAGCACTTCAGCTTCTTCATTTACTATTATTTTGCCTATTTTGTTATCCCATCAGTTCTTGCTTGCAGGTAAGCAAGTTCTTGCCAGATCTTCCAATACACCATTGCTGCTACTTGGTCATGCTGTTGTTATAGTCAGTCTGTGCATCCTTCTTGCAGCAGATAACTATTTCTTCAGCTTCTTTGCAGAATCAGCATTTGCCATCCATTGCTGTCTTCTCAATTCTGGCTTTGTGTGCATTTTTTCTTAAGGCTTGGTCTTATGCAGCCAGAATTCTGTATCTGTCTTCAAGTTTTCTGCTCTTAAACTATAGCCAGGTCTTGCTGATATCTGCTTTGCCTGATAATTATTTGGTGTATTAGTCACATGTCTTGCCATGTCTCTTCATTATTCTCCATTGGTCTTGTAGACTAGTCTAGTCTCTCTGGAATTCAGTAAACCTTCAGAGTGTATTTGTTCAGTTCATCTTCTTCACTGTCCTTCACATATTCTTTCAATGCCCTTTTTCTTCTTAACTGTCTGGTGTAATTGCAGCATTCCATGCCCACTTATGCTTCCTTGTATGTAGAGCCTGTCAACATTACTGCATGGATGAAGGACATGATCAAGTTGACCTTGTGAGAAATAGGACACTGAATAGATCTTCAGTCTGATCCAGTACAATTTCACTTAGAAAGTGCAAGTATGAAGTTTTGAGGACTTATGTATTCTACCCTTTCCTTAGACTTCTGAGCTCTAAACTTGTGCTCTTCAAATCTGAAGGAATATAATTCCCAGTCACTTTCCTACGTTAGGGTAGTAAAATATTGGCTTTATCTACCTGATCTTTTGGAAGACATTTCCAACCCAATGATTCTGTTATTTGATCAAGAAATAGATTACTAGTAAAATAAAGTTGGTGTAACCTGCTGGGCAAGTCTATCCTGGTCAATCTGTTAAGCTTTATGCTACACCTTGCCCTAAGGTATGTGGATTCAATCCATGATAAAGCAAGAGTTTTATGATGAAATATGACTCAGGTCAAATTAAGAACGAGATCATGCTGAGGTCAGCATGGAACTGATGGAAATTTTGAAGTCCTCATGGTCTACAAGAATGGCCCATCCTTATTTAAAAATGAATTATTAATTTCTGGATTTGCTGATTTAAAAAAAGGTTAAATAGGGGAGAAGGAATCTATATAATGTAATTTTGAAGGGAGAAGAAATGATAGAAGCTAATTTGTAACTGCTGTAAAGAAAATTGGAAGCTGCTTTTCAACTTTTTTTACTTTTTCTCTTTTTCTTTCTTATCTGTAGCACTTCATCTTTTACTTTTGCTATTTTTTATATATTTTCTTTATCTTTTAATTATGTCAAATCTTTTAATAAAACATATTATAAAAGAGAGTGGAAGGGAGGAAGGAGGGAAGGGGAAGTGGGTGGGGTAGGGGAGGGGGAGGGAAATCAAAGGGGGAGAGGGAAAGGAGAAGAGAGAAGAGAGAAGAGAGAAGGGGAAGAGAAGAGAAGAGAAGAGAGGAGAGGAGAAGAGAGGAGAAGAGAAACCATTGAAAATAAAGGGAAATGTATGTTTTGTCCGAAATGGTATAGGGTTTCCTGCCTGAGCAGGGGGTTGGACTTGGTGACCTCCAAGATCCCTTCCAACTTTATTATTATTATTATATAAATATTAAAACTGCTAACATTCAGTCATGTGTATCCTATATACAGCTTTAAATAAACATGTATTGCAAATATAGGTACTTTTGTTTCTATATGGAGACCACTTCAGTGAAACTTTGATTTTGGGGTTTTACTGATTAGATTGATTTGTTGTTATATAAATGGCTAGTTTATACTATTATATAAAGTAAAAAGTTGAGGCTTGATGTTAATACTTCATTCTACTGCAACAGAGGAAGTTGGAAGTCAATGTCTTTTTTTTTCTTTTTCTCTTCTTCCCCTCACTCTTCTTTCCCTTTCCCCTCCCCACTCTGTCCTACTATTTGCTTTTGTATTTTGTATTTTACTCTGTAATCTAATAAACTGTAAAAAACTTGAAAAAAATCCTGCAAACATTTAATCATGTGTACACAGGTTTAAATAAACCATATATTGCAAATATACCATAAGCCTTCATTAGCTTCCATAAGAAACATCTCAAACAAAACTCCAAAGGCTCGTGCAGAAGATTTTTCCTGCCTCTAACCAGCAATAAAAAACCAGATGGCCCTTGAGGCTTATACCCCAAAGACAGGCCTTTTGACAGTATAGGTAGTCCTCAAGTTACAACCATTTGTTTAGCGACTGTTTGAAGTTACAGCAGCACTTAAGAAAGTGACTTACAACCAGTCCTCACACTTATGACCACTCTAGTATTCCCCATAGTCACATGATCAAAATTCAGACCCTTGGCACCTGGTATGCATTTACAATGATTGCATTTCCTGTTGCTTTCCTGAGAAGCAACCTTCCCAGCTGGCTTCCAACAAGAAATTTTGATGGAGAAAGCTGGATTTGCTTAACAACTGCATAATTAACTTAATAACTGCAGTGATTCATTTAATAACTGTAGCAAAAAGTCATAAAATCAGGCATGGCTCATTTAACAATTTCTTGCTTGGCAATGGAAATTCTAGTTCCAATTATAGTCGTAAGTCAAGGATTGCCTATAGTCCATAACTGTTATGATATACATTTAGCCCTTTCATTACTGCAATCCTGAGAAACCATTTATTCTGAGTTTATTAATGAACAACTATTTCATATTTTATGTTACTATTAATTTAAATACATTGCTCTGTTTCAAAACCCTTCACATGCAGATCTCATCCAGTGGGAGGCAGGGACAACATGTACCTTGACAACATGTCTTCTTAGTGGCCGTCCCCATCCTTTGGAACGCATATCTCCTGAGAAAAAGCACACCCCTAACCTCTAGGCTACCAAGAAAGTTTTGAGAACTTTTCTTTTTACAGACAGAATATTTGCTGCTAGAGCTGCCTTAGTTATGTTAGATCAGTGTTTCGCAACTTGACAACTTTAAGTTGCGTGTACTTCAACTTCCAGAACTCCCATCAGGATGGCTGGGTATTTCTGGAAGTAGAAGTCCAGACAGCTTAAAGTTGCCCAGGTTGACAAACAGTAGGTTAGATCAGTGTTCTGAATTATTGTTATTAGCCTCACTGTAAACCACTTCAAATCAATCACTTTTGAGTAGCTTAATGGGGAAATGCAGATTGAACTCAGAAGGGATGCTGCTGAGTCATCACAGGTTTTGGGAGCAGGACATGTATAGTTTCTAGGATAAAACTATGTATAGTTTCTAGGATATATACTTGCATGTATATATCTTGTTAGAAATAAATTCCAATTCTCTCCACCAGATATTTTAAAGTATTCTGGCAGTGGAGTGATTATCCACTTTCTCTTTTGTACAAGGCAAGCAGGACAATGCCCATGTTTTTTTTCCCCAGGCTATGGAAAATGTAGGCTAACAATACATATGCTGGAAAACCTTTATTATAAGACACAACCTTCCCTATACAGATAATCCTTGTTTAGTGACCACAATAGGGACTGACAACTTGGCCATCAAGCAAAATAGTATCTAAGTGAAACCATGATTAGGCTTATCTTACTTCAACTTTCCTTTGTGTCCCAGACCAGTAAAGGTTGTAAATGCAAGGATTGTCACAAAGTTATTTTTTATCACCATCATAATTGTAAACAATTGCTAATCAAGGACTCCCTAAGCAGGATCATCCACAATGTCAGACTACAACCCCCATCATTCACAGCCATTCACAGAAATTGGAGATCAGGTACATTCTCTTACATATGGGTATTGGAAGATAACTTAAACTGCATTCAAATCATAGGATCATATATCTTTAAAAACACAACTGGCTACAAGGTTTGCAGTGATAAGACACCTTCCTCATCTTTGGGCTTTTGGTGTATGGAGAATCCCATTTGTAAAATGCCAAACCAACATGGATGTTAGGTATTGAACAGCTTCACCCTAGATTCGTACTTTTTCTCTACATCAGCATACTGTAAGAACAAACAATACACAATCTTTGGCTTGAATTCAGTCATTAAGATGCGACACAGGAAAAATCATAAAGGTTGGCTATGCATGAAAGTGCTCATCCATGTGAGGAAATACCCTCAAGAATTTCCTGTTTTCCATTCAGAAAAGAAGTACTTGTATGCTAGAGTTTCCCTCCTCAGCTAAAATACTCTTAAGATATTAAGGATTTACACAGATATTTATACATATGATTAGAGACAGCTTTTTACCTTCTTCTTTCAAAGAAATCTGTTTTTATAGCAATTAGGAGCAACTGAGATATTCTAGATATATATTCACAGCCCTTTAACAAGAAGATGAATGTTTCGGGAGTGAGGTGGGGGCAAAAACTCTTTAGCTACCCTTGTCTCAGTTTCACTGAATATCTTACCTGCTTCAACTGCTGGATTCCAAGTTGTTTCACTCCCCCCCACACCCCTTTCACAAAAGAATCAGTGTGTGTCAGGACAGGTATGTGTGCTCAAGGTTTTAGCTGAGGCTTAAGTAAATGATCACCTAGCATTTATCAATGTCTTGCTTATGAGCAGAAAGCCACCTACTGTGAATCACAACTTTTGTTCTAAAAAGAAGGAGGGGGGACACATTGTCACACAAGGGGAGGGGAGGAAAATATTTTTAAGCAAATATTTGGAAAAGAAACAGCCCATTTCTTTCTGACTGACCAATGAGAAGAATTTGTATGCTGGCAAAGGATTTGGTCCATTCCAAAGGGCTCACATATCAGCAGATTAGATGGACAACTCCCACAACAGTACAGAATAAAAGAGACAGGGAGAGGGGAGAACTACTTACATTGTCTCCAGAGTATAAAGTGTGTCACTTGGTTGCCAAGAGCTGGTCTGAGACATCCTTTCATCATGAATACCTACAGCTTTAGGCAATCCTCTTCCAACATTGGTGGAGGAGGTTTTGGTGGTTCTTCCTCCTTCAGAACCCCAAGCATCCATGGGGGTTCTGGAGGTTATGGCATCTCTGTCTCTTCTGCTAGATTAGCTTCTTCTGGATTTGGAGGAGGCCTAGGTAGTGGCTATGGTGGTGGAAGTTTTAGCTATGGGAGTGGTTGCTTTGGTGGAGCTGGTGGAGCTGGTGGGGCTGGAGGTGTCTTTGGTGGGAACCTAAATGTCAGTGATAGCCTCCTTTCGGGAAATGAAAAGGTAACTATGCAGAATTTGAATGATCGCCTGGCAAACTACCTGGACAAAGTGCGTGCCCTGGAGGAGGCAAATACTGAACTAGAGGTTAAAATTCGAGAGTGGTACCAGAAGCAAGGACCGACTGCAAGCCGAGATTACAGCCCATTTTACAAGACCATTGAAGACCTCCGGGACAAGGTAGGACTTCAGATTTGGAATCCTGAGGGATGTATTTATGTTTCAGCATCTTGTGAAAGGTTTTTCAATTGTGATATGTGAATTCCAGCAATAATAGTTTTTGGACAGCCAGTGACAAGCATTTGCAGATCATGCTCTACTATAAAAAGGTTTCTTCATCATTGGATTAATATATTATGTAATTTTTGCTTTGTATATCATGGATTATGGCTTTATATGTTGTGCAACTCTGCCAAATGTGGCAGAGCACCATGACTTAGCACAAAGTGTAAATTTAATCTGCTCTATGTTTGAAATTTTTTTCATATTTCTGAAGTTCCTAAAATGACAAAGGTCTCTGGTCCTGCAGAGAAAACTAAATTGCAACTTCCAACATACCCCACCATTGACCATGCTGATTTGGAATTAGAGATCAGCAATGAACAATCACAGATTCTCCTTAGGTTCAGCTCCTGCACTTTTTTCTGGCTTGCAGTGTGAACATGATGAAATAGGCAATCATCTGAACATTTAGCTGTTCTGCATTTGCTTAAAAACACAAAAGCATTATTACAAAGAGGAAAGTCTTGTATGGCATGAGGGCACCAATATGACTAACCCAAATTCCAGTATCTCTCTGAAAAGAGCTGATCAATTTATTTTTAAAAATCCCTAAACAATTACTGTTCCCATTTATGAAGAGAGTGTAACAGCACCTTAGCTTGAATCATACAGTTGGCAAAAACCTTTTACTCACTGTTCATTGCAAAGCATCAATATCAGCCAGGAAGCATTCAAATTCCTCTACTTCTTTTTTATTATACAGTTATTCCTTGACTTGGGACTAGAATTTTAGTCACAAATCTGTGTGAGTCAAGTCCACACATGACCAGACTTGATTTTATGTCAATGTTTAGAGTGGTTGTAAAGCACTAGGTTCCCTAATGAACATTTTTTTAAAAGGTTGTCAATTGCAATTCACATGAGCACAAGATGCTGCAAGTATTTGTAAATGTGAGCTGGTTGCCAAGCACCAGAATTATGGTCATGTGACCATGGAGGTGATATCATGCTCATAAGTGCAAATACAGTACATAAAGCACTTTTTCCAAAGCTGTTGTAACTTCGAACCATGGTTAAATAAACAGTTTGAGATCAAGGATTACCTGTATTTAAGAATTACTATGCATTTTGCCAAGTTGTAGACAAAGAATGCTGTATGTGCACAGCATAATTCTGGCATAGTTGACTTTAAAGAAACTGATTAAAGGTAATGTAATATTAGACAGGAATCAAAATCAGATTTTTATAGCATAGACAATAGTTTAGCTGTATCTGTGTCAATCAAGATGTCATTCGGAGCAATGCTTGATCAACTGATTAATCAAATAATGCTTAGTAATTAATTAAACAATATGCCTAAGGCAGACATATCTCATGCTACAAGATCTTATATTTCCAAATTTAGATCTATGTGCTGTTGAGAATTGAAGTATCTCTTCATTCTTGATTTAGCACCTCTTTTTGGCTATTAGCATGACTCTTACAGTATGTTAGCTAAACGCTGGACTGCTACATTCTCTAAGGCTAAGCTGTTCATATTAACATATTAATTTCTCTTCCTCGCTATTTATGCAGATAAAATCATCTTTATGTGCTCTTTAAATACGGTAATGCTTGTGTGCCGAGAGGATGGACTGAAATGCATTCCTGAGCAAATCTGTTGATATTTGCATGTCATCTTGTGTACATTGGATTGCACTGAATCAATGGGATATAAATTAGTCATAATTTATATCAGTCCCATTAGTTTCACCAGCTCTATTTTAAAAGTGTTTCAATTTGGAGCCCATGGATCCTAGTTTATTTCTTATACTTGTCTCCAGCCACAGACCATATCATATGCTGCTCCATTTTAATATCAAAATTGTGCACGTCTATCAGTTGAAGGCCACACCAAATTTTAAGTTTATGACATCTCTCAATAGCAACTTGTCCGATAGATTGACCCCCCCAAATTTTCATCTTTCCACATCTTAGGCAGTTTCCTTTCCACCCATCCCTCCCATACATATGTTAACTTGCTTGTAGTTAGCTTTCTCCAGGAAATAGGAATACCATGTTTTGCTTTACAGGGGATTGTATTTGAAGGAGCTGAGAAAAGCCCTCATCTTGAAAGTATCCTGTTTGAAATATTGTCCAAGGACAATGCTTTATTTGAAGATGATTCTTTTGATCACATGTTGATCTCTTAATTTTTGTTGACTCTCCTTTAGTATGTCCTGGCAGGAAGTGCATCTGATCTCAGCCTTCTCCATTTCAGCAAGATGTTTCCTATGTCTATTTAAATTATACCAATTATTGTTAGATGTGTGTCTGTATTTGTTCAATTTGGTTGTTTGCTCTGTATTATTTTTTTCTCTCTTCTGCAATGATGTATAAAGCCCCCCTCCTTGGAGACAGAGTGCAAACATTCTCCTTTGGAACCCTTTAAGATAAAGATCTCTGAAGCTCCTCCCTTCCTTCATTGTCTTAATATTCCTAAAAGCCTCCTATATATCTTGAATTGGAATCTGAGCAGAGACCTCCCTTTCAACAATTCAATTACCACAGCAAAACTTTGGCTTTGTTTCTTTGTTAAAGAGGAAAAAGAAGACAAGAAACCAGTAACTAAGTAAACCCTTTTTTTCTATACACATGTAATCAAAGTTTATTTTGTGACAGCAGAATCACTAAACCCCCAGTTTGTTTGGACAGGAAACACATACACACCCTGAAAGTACAGAGAATAAAATAAAAACAAACAGTTATTATGAAGAAATGAATGCACCCTAGCAGTTAATGATTACCAACTTCCAAGTTGGCTGTTAGTTCTAAAGAATTTGGTTCTTTAAACAAGTTGAAACCGAGCCACAAAGGAAGTTAGCATGTAAAGTGCAGATAGCCAGGCCAAAATGTATCTGTGATTGGTAAAGTTGGACAGATTCTCAAATGTGAATGTTTGACATTGATTATGGTACAATAGCTAAGTTGCTGAACTAGGACCAGAGACTCAGTTCCTAGGTGATTGTCAGGCCCCAAGAACCAAGAAAGACATTATTATTAGTTATTTCTGAGCAATTTCTTTTATTGTTTCCCACTTATAGACAGAAATCTTGCCAAACTAAAACAACTATTTCTATCATTATAGATATACTCTAAGACAGTGGTGGCGAACCTATGGCACGGGTGCCAGAGGCGGCATTCAGAGCCCTCTCTGTGGGCACGTGTGCTGTCACCCCAGTCCTAGGCCTTCAGCTGGGTTTTATAAAACCTTTTCGCTTTAGGCCTCCACTGCCATGTGCAAAAAAAAAAAAAAAAAAAAGGCTCAATCAATCAGTCAATTTCAACGTCTCGCAGGAAAAAAAAGATCTTGCAAAGTTGGAATTGATTGATTGAACTTTTTAGTCCCACCCAGTCTGCTGTTACCACCGCAACCACGCCTGCCCAATGGGCCACATCCACCCAATGGGCCACACCCACCCAGCACCCGACGATGCATAAGTGGGTTTTGGGTTGCAGTTTGGGCACTCAGTCTCTAAAAGGATCGCCATCACTGCTCTAAGAATTGCTAGGGAAGAGCCTTCTTAACTGTCTTTCTCCCGATCTAAGTTTTTCTGCCTTTTTGTCGCCTGGAGTGCAATTCCTCCTTCCTGGGAATTCAGACTACGTCTCACCACTCTCTGGGTCAGTCACTCTCTCTCAGCAAAAGCAATAAAATGGAGATTCCCATGTAAACTACCTTGGACTTTTGTGGAAAAGGCGGGATTGGAAATCCAAGAAATGTATTTTTTTTAAAAAAACAAACAAACCCATATCTGATGGAGCACTACATCTTTGGCCGGATGATTTTCTTAATCCTATATCTGCTGCTACTTGAAGTTAACCACATGAAATGGGCGTGTCTCTGTAAGATGTAGCTAGTAATTTCAAAGTAGAAGCTCTTTTTATCACTTTTATTTCTTTTAATGTTTGTTATGCTGGATTTATGTTGTAGCTTTTATAAACATCTCATTGCAAGGAGCAAGTGATATCTTTATGTCAACATACAGTCTACAATGCTCTGATGATAGTGTACACTGAATTTTTCAGGTGAATCAATTTGTTATCTGCATAGTCCAATCAAACTAGTAAATAGCACCTGTTTGATTTATAATACTGATAGAGTATTATATAGAGTATGGATAATGTAAACTATATCCCATGATTGTATTATGGCAAAACAGCCATATTTGGTCATGAAATATATCCTTACAAATAAAGGAATTTAAAGAATTTTAGTCCCATTGATTCCAAAGGAATTACACTTAATAGTCAATCAAATCTATTTTGGGTCAATGTTGTTTTAGGTAAACAACTGAAAATACAACATGGTTGCCTAGTGGATCAATTTAGAGAAGAAAACAATTTACTCCAAGAAATCTAAAGACACATATATACATCCTATCAACTGTGTGTGTGTGTGGAAGCCAAAGTAGTTTTTTAAAAAAGATATGCTATGACTAAAAGCAACTCACTCCAACCTTGTGTTACTTCTTGTCTTTCAGATCCTGGAAGCAACAATTGAAAATAACAAAATGGTCCTGCAGATTGATAATGCTAGATTGGCTGCTGATGACTTTAAAACCAAGTAAGTAAATCTTTCATGGATCAGAAAATGGAGGAAATGTATATTTTCCATTTGCAAATTATGGAAGGGAATAGGAGAAGGAATCTATTCATGAGTGATCTCTTACTTAGCGCTGTTACTTGTTACAAAAGAAGTGGTCACATAAATAGCATAATGTCAGTCTTCTATATCCAGATATCTTTATCCTCTCTATATCATCCAGCCTAATATTGTAAACATTTCTACATCAGGAAGTGGCTCAACAAAATTAAACAGAATCAGTGACATGGAAGTTTTTAAGAAGAGACTGGACAGCCATTTGTCCGAAATGTTGTAGGATTTCCTGCCTGAGCAGGGGGTTGACCTCCAAGGTCCCTTCCTCCAAGGTCCCTTCCAACTTTACTACTATTACATTACATTTTAGACTATGCCTTAAAAAAGTAAGGTATTTCTTTCTTTAATTAGGTTTGAGACTGAGCAAGCCCTGCGCATGAGTGTGGAAGCTGATATTAATGGCCTACGCCGAGTATTGGATGAGCTGACCTTAGCTAGAGCTGACCTGGAGATGCAAATTGAAAACTTAAAAGAAGAACTGGCTTATCTCAAGAAGAACCATGAAGAGGTAAAGAAAGAGACAAGTGTTCCTTGGGCTGGAAACTCATTTTGTTATGATTAAAATAAAAACATTTACAAAGAGCAGGACTGAAGTTGTATGTAACAAATTTAAATTCTATGAACACCAACCAGCCTTCTTAAGATATCATTAAAAAGCATTATGCAGTCTCCATTCTATGTACAAAAGCTAACTGCAACAAGGGCTGAATCTTCAGCATAGTCAATAAGACAACATGATACACTGAATCTAAAGTCAGCAGAAAGTCTTAGTTTTCTCTGTCAATAGCAATTGCAATAGCACTTAGACTTATATACTGCTTCACAGTGCTTTACAGCCCTCTCTAAGCAGTTTACAGAGTCAGCATATTGGCCCCAGCAATCTGGGTCCTCATTTTACCAACCTCAGAAGAATGGAAGGCTGAGTCAACCTTGAGCTGGCGAGACTCAAAATGGCAAACTGTTGGCAGTCGGCAGTCAGCAGAATTAGCCTACAGTACTGTATTCTTACCACTGCACCACTACAACTCTACCTTTCTAGCATCTTATATCTTGCCTAACAACTGAGTGGTCCTTAAAGGATTCAATCAACTGTTCAAAATCAAATCATTCTGCAGGTTTAAATATACAGAATGGCTTTTAGGATATGATAAATTCAATTTCTCAGCTATTAAAGAGCTGGAAAAATCACTTCTTCTGCAGGATGAATTTGGTTGTACAATTAAATAACTCAGTCAGAAAGCTGTTCAGTTCTGTGGTTGATATATTTCTTTGAAATTAGTTCTGACCTTGCTATCAGATTCATGCTTTCTACCCACTTTGGAAATGTGATGTGAGAAAACTGCAGCCCTCTAAATGTTATAGCACTCCAATTCCAGTTCAGCCCAGCTTTCAAAGCTGATGGTCAGAGATAATCAAAGATGATTATTTAGCCTAATGCTTTTTGAATTTAACTGTTAGGGTTGCTGCTCATAAATGGCTATAAAGGTATAAAAAGTGAGAGGAGGTGTTAAGCTTTTCCATCTTTTTCTCTTTTTTAGGCATTAATTGAGTCATGAAAAATTAAAAAAGAAACAAAAAAGTATAAATGTGGAGAAAGTTAAATGCAGTTTAGTGCTGCTATGCAAATAGATCCTCAATTAATGTTTGGACTTTTTCTCATTTTAAAGGAAATGAGTACTCTATCTGGCCATCTGGGTGGCCAAGTGAGTGTTGAAATTGATTCTGCCCCAGGCATTGACCTCACCAAGATCCTGGCAGACATGAGAGACCAGTATGAACTGCTAGCTGAGAAGAATCGAAGGGATGCCGAGGCCTGGTTTATGAGCAAGGTGAGACAGAAAAAATGGGCAGAGAATGAAATGGGATAGGGGGATCCTTCAAGAGAATAATTCAGTAAGAGACAACTGGGCTGTCCAAATCATAATCAGACTTACCAATGTCATCTTCCCTTTAAAAATATATAGACTGAAGAACTGAATAAAGAGGTTGCCGTCAACACTGAACAGCTTCAGACCAGCAAGACAGAAATCACTGACTTGAGACGGACTCTCCAGAGCTTGGAGATAGAGCTGCAATCCCAGCTTAGTATGGTACGTGGATCAGTGGGAATGAATTAAGTCCAATGTCTGAATCTTGAAATAAGTAACTTAATTTGATCCCTTGAGCTATGTGTGTATATGTGTATGTGTGCGCACACATATGGAGTGCAAAGAGATGTCAACTAAACACTCAGAGGTTCAATTTCTGTCATCTCCAATAGATCTGAATAGACATTATCAGTCAAATATTTAATTCATCACTCTATTAAGCTATTATTTAAGCATAGCCTACTGAATAAAACACAACAAATTAGATCTATAACCAATGGAGGGATTCAAATATGTGAACAACCAGTTCTCTGTGTGGATGCCGCTTCCAGAAGTCCATTTTGGGTCTGGGCAACAAATAATTAGCTATCAGTTCTGCCGAAGTGGTGCGAACCGGCTAAATCCCACCACTGTCTATAAGTCTGTCTGTAAATACGATATATAAATGACAGGAGCTGGAATCAACATTCTATACAATAAATTTAAAAAAAAACCTGCATTAAGGCTGAAAATATGTGTCAGCTCAGAAAGTGTTTGCAGAATTGAACAAAAAGAAAAGTGCACTTTATAAAACAGCTTCTTAGGGTTTTTTTTTTCATCAATGTTAGGCAACCTTACTGCATAAGGTCCAGAACATAGTATCAATAACATATAAAACAAATGAAAAAACAGCTAGTAATTGTGAGGTATGAAACAGCTAGTAAATATTAAATGTTCAAATCAATCTAACCAATGCTTTTGAAAAATACTGTATCATATTTCAGCAGTCCTCTAATCTATTGGACTTCTATTGCTCTGTGCAAGTTAACAAATATAACCATTACCACTTCACACCTAATTTCTTTTCCTTAAGCTTATCTTGCCCCAGTTTTCAAAACAATGTTTGACATTTCTTTCAAACTGATGCCACAGATTTTTTTCAGAAAGCACTGAATTTTTCTTCTCACCAATGCCTTCCCCTTCTCAGAAAACTGCCCTGGAAGGCACCTTAGCGGACACAGAAGCTCGCTATGGCAACCGGCTGTGCCAGATCCAAGGCCTGATCAGCAACATAGAAGCCCAGTTGGTTGAGGTTCGCAGTGACATGGAGAGACAGAACAATGACTATAAGATGTTGATGGACATCAAAACCCGTCTGGAACAAGAGATTGAGACTTATCGTCAGCTCTTGGATGGCCAGGACTTTAAGTAAGTTGATTCTAAATGCAAACATTTTACTGTTGGTAATGCAAAAGGAATTATTAATCCTTATTTTGCCAAAATAATGAGGCTTGAAAATAGTGCTGCCCTTATTACAAATTGCAAACAAATTAAAGAAAGGGACCCGTAGATAGCCTGGCTTTGTTTCTCTTCCCACCAAACATTGCCAAGCGTGGGGGAAAAAATGACCAAGCACTCTCCCTAATATAGGATGAAGCATGATATGGTCAGTTTATAACAGTGTTTCTCGATTTGGCAACTTTAAGCTGTGTGGACTTCAGCTCTCAAAATTCTCCAGCAAGCTATGAGAACCATTGCTTTGGAAGGATGCATGGAATGGTGGTTTAATGCTAGTCAAGTTGCTGAACCTACAGGTTGCAGTCAATGGAGATGAGAGTGAGGCAAGATTAATTGTGGGTGAAGAATACTTCTGATTCTCCTAACAGCCCTTTGTGTTTGCTTCCTATCAGTCAGGCTAATTCTGAACAGGGTTTATTTGTTTGTTTATTTATTTGTTTGTTTGTTTTTTAAAGCATAGTGCTTTAAGCTGTTTTTAAACCTTTAGTACTTAAATTGATAAAGATTACATATTCTCTTCAATTTGCTTTTGAAAAATAGTCCCAGTCAGCTGGGTTATTTTTGTTTGTTCATTTGTCTTTTGTGATTTTTAGTGTAAGTATTCTTTCTTTTTCTTTTTTCCCATACAGCTTTTCAGGTAATGCCTCAGGAATGTATGGTAAGGTTTTGTTATTTTAAGGGAGGGAAAGTTATGGAAAGCAATTTTTAATATAGTTTATCAGATATGGGCTGGACGGTACATAATGGACAGCCATTTTGCTAAAGGTAATCAAATTCAGATCTGGCCTATGACTTGTGAATTCTCCTTCAGACAATTTTGAGTGCCATGATAGAATAAAATCAGGAGTGATAGATTATGTTTCAAAATATACAGCTTGTCATCTCTTGCTCTTTAAAATCCTGGTACTAAATACTTTTAGTCTAAATTTTCACTAGAATGTGACAGTTTTATGGGGGACCTTTCTTGGACTAACTCAGTGTTTCCCAAACTTGACAATTGTAAGGCATGTGGACTTCAACTCCCAGAATTCCACAGCCAGCATTGCTGGCTGTGGAATTCTGGGAGTTGAAGTCCACATGTCTTAAAATTGTCAAGTTTGGGAAACACTGGACTAACTAGTAGTTGTTATTTGTCAATATCTCCATCTCCCTTGACTTAGTCCTAATCCACATTTATTTCTTATGTGCCATCACCCACTTCTTTTTCATTATCAACTATATCAGCCTGATACAGTTGATAATGTCTAAAATATCATATACATCCTGTAGACAGAGGCTATGGCATCACAGTATAAATGGGCAATCTGTTGTCCTCCATATATTTTGAATTTCACTTTCTATCAGTTTAAGTCTAATGGTTACCGTCAAAGGACAATGGGAGTTGTGGTGTTTAACTCTGAGAAGGTATCAAGATACTTATCATTTCCTATACTGCTACTACCATTTCAACTTTCAAGGGAATGACTGCCAAAAGAGATGATTTAGAAAGATATTTTTCAAACTTGCCAACTTTAAAACTTGTAGACTTTAATACCCACCCAGAATTTTCAAGCCCTGTCTGGGCAATTTTGGCAGTGGGCATACATCTGAAAATTGCCAAGTTTGAAAAAACCTATTTTAGAAACTAGGCATTTTCAAGATAAATTAAATCATATTCCCATCTGGGACCAGTTCCAATGCCATTTCTTTCTTTTCTGTTGAAAAGCAATAATCATAAATACAATAAAGTAATAAAATGCAGTAAAAGCACAAGTTCCATTAAGAATCCATGCAATTGGTGAGAACCAGAGATAAATGACAGATATCTTGCAGTCATTTAGTGGCATAGAGGTAGACTTATTTACAGAAAGGCTAAGAAGTATCATGAAAAGTTGCATGTTCACTGATAATTCCACGACATGCTTCAGAACAAAAATAACTTCTGAGAGATGCTCCAGTATACAATGTTCTTTCCTTAAAGTACAATTGATTTATTAACATATAATTTATGCCTAATAAATTTTTATTTCTTCATTTTGCTATAGACAAAGCAGTTGATGGTAAGAAGCCTTGAAGAACACCCTCTACGTTATACACAAATACTCAATTCACAGATTTCAATGGGTAGTTACTATCACCAAGAGATGGAAATTTAATGTTTCACATAGCAGTAGTTCCTTAAGCACATATACTTGGTGGCTGGAGATCATATAACAATTTGACTTGTTCCTGCTTTTGCTTTTCTTCTTTGATTTCTACTATCCAATAAAGTTCTTTTGGGTCTTGCAAATTCTAAATGAAGACTTATTTCTAATAATAAACCTGGCTTTTAAATACAGCAAGCACTGATGGGCACTTAAAAAGCAGCTGAAATTTCCACAAATGGAATGGAATGGAATGGAATGGAATGAAATAGAATAGAATAGAATAGAATAGAATAGAATAGAATAGAATAGAATAGAATAGAATAGAATAGAATAGAATAGAATAGAATAGAATAATAACTTTATTGTCACTTTAAATGTACACTAATCGGCATACATTAAAATGAAATTTCATTGCATACAGCTCTCACAGAGTCACCACCATATACACTAACATATAGGTATATCACAGATTTTATACATCTTTAAAACTCTTCAATTGTACACAGTCTGAGGAGTGAGTTGGGGAGGGAGAGTGTAGCTGGATGGATTCTTCATGTACCATGTAAAATCTCAGCTTTCTTAACCCAATCTCATCCAGTTTTTGTAATATGATCCTCATCATTCCTGGTCAACACAATCCATGTTATTAGAGATGAGCATTTTGAGCAGAAAACATTCTATATTCATATACAGACCTATGCACACACACTAAACTGTTCATTTTTGTGCATATAACTTCTGGGGGGAGGGATAAAACAATGTTCGATGTTCATCTACTGAATCAGCTCATAACTAGAAAGGAATTCAATGGCAGGCACTATTATTCCTGCAAGGTACTCCAGACAAGAGGCAGAAACAGGAATACTAGTTCTATTTTTATTATAAGTTTACATTAACAAGACTGAAAGTATTGCTCCCTTCCCTTTATTCTCAGGAAAACTATGAGAGGTCCCTTTTCAAAAATTCCATGCCATCCCCTCTCCCATGGGAGGAGACATCTTTTATATGCTGGTTAGTCTGCAGCTCTCCCTCCTGTCCCCCAAGGTCATTCTCACATACCATTGCAAACACCCAAGAGGGGAGTATAATATACCTTCTTGCCACACCTGCCAAGCATGGGCCAAGGATAGTTGATGGCAGGATCAAGTCATGATGTTGCAGACTATGAGATACCTTGGGCCTGTATTAACCTCTGCAATCCACTCAGATCACATCATGCTTGGTCTGGATACTTTCCATCTCTATATAGGCATAGTATTATCAGCATTTGCATTGTCAAGTGTTAGAGATTATTCTTATGTAAAAATGAGGTTGTATGGAAGTACTGTAGTTTAGGCAAAATTACCTAAATCTATCAGATGTTTTTCCAGTCCTTCATTTTAGAATGTCTGAGTGTGAAACTCATCCTAAAATGTTCCATAAGCTGTTACATCATGAAACTTTGAACATTTCTAAAATAATTCTACTGTTTTAAATAATTTTTTGAAATTGTTTCCATGATTTCATTAGGGAGGGTTCAGGAATATAGTTCAAGGGCTAATTATACAGTTTGGGGTATATGAGAAGTCAGGGCGAAAGCATAAAAGAGGGCTGTGGGGTGAAAAAAATCATCCAAAAAGCGTAAATCATGATTTCTGAGAGAAAAATCACCTCTAGCTTCACTTATACTCAGGCTGGTTCTACTACTGGTTTATGACCACAATACACTAAATTGAACTGAAAGGACTAGTTCTATGGAAAGCCACAGGATTTAAGACAATCATAGTTTCAATCTGCCTATTTTAGGCATGATAATAGCTATTTTAACTATTTAGGTATTATCTCTCAAGTAAGATAAAATCCAGCCAAAGTAATAACTCCAGCAAGATTCAACCATACCAATAACCAAGGATAGGATTGGCATGAGGGTGAAGTAATCAACTTGTTCCTGATTTCAGCACTTAGCATATTTTAAGCACTTAGCATTTTCAATCTCATGCACTTTATTAAGCTTGATGGCTTGATTTGTTTGTGGAATCTACATCCCACTTTTACTTCTTTATTTAAATATTTATTCCAATATTCAAGGGAGCTCACATCAATAACAAATTAGCTATAAAACACAACAAAATTGATATAATTAGAACTAAAATCGAAACCAGTCATTAAAAAAAATTACAAAAGGTGGTAAAAGTGTTGCCTTCTAAAATTATTTTGTTTTAGTTAATAAATCAATAGAAAAGAAAAATAAAATAGCAAAAAGAGAAAAGAAAGCAACATCAAATATATGATATAATGGCTTTTCACACAAGGTTTTTTGCATAAGAATTACCTTATTCTATTGTAATTGTCCATACAATCTATATCTGTAAGCAACTCATTCAAAAGTTGCAAGTAATATGAGATCCTCACTCCAGTGAGTAATTGGAAATATAAATGTATGTTTCCATTGGTGAACAATAGCAACATGAAGGGAAAAAAGAAGCCACTTCTGTTTTCCTATTGTTACTCTTCATACAATAGGCATGTAATTCAAATTAATACAGACATCCTTAAATAATAAATTTTATCTTCAATATTTACTTCAATAATATAATAATTTAAGATATTACAAAATGTGTTTAAATGAACATTATTATCTTTGCATGTGTTTTTATCATCTTCCATACCATTGGGGGGGCAGAAGACAAACCTTACAGAGTGTATACTGAAAATCTGAGAATGATATAGGTATCAGCCATTTAAGGTCAGAAACAATGATCACAAAAACTATTAGAACATTATTTTAAATAGCAGAATCTTGAAAGGCTGGCAGACATTCTCTCTGCTTCTCTTTGATACAAAAGGAATAAAGAAAAGTAATTTTGAGTTTCTTGCTTATTCTTTCCTCTCTTCCGGGACTAAGATCGTGCTAATGTAACAGTTGTTGAATATCTTCTTCAAGGCTATCTTTGTATTTCTCCACAAAAGATCTTTTTTGCATGCTCTTCCCCACCTTCTAGCAGCAGCAGTAGAGATCTCCAAATGGGTCTTTCCTATTGATCTGAATAATAGGACAGTTTCATAGTTAGAGAGACCTCTAATCTGGCCCAAAGCGGTTTAGCGCTTTAATAATGAATGCCAATTATTAAACTGTGTCCAACCGGCAATCAGTAGCCAGTGCATATGTTTTAGTACAGACATCATATAATTTTTATGCATGCATGGTAGGCAGCCTGGCTGCCACATTTTGCACCAATTGCAATTTCTAAATACTTTCCAGGGTAGCCACATATCAAGAATATTATAGCAGGCATAATGATCATGTGATGGATTGTTTTCATTGAAAACAAATTTCCAGATGTCAAAATCTTCAGCTTTGAAGGCTTAATATGTTCTTAAGGACAGGGACAAACTGGATGATACTCTTTAAAAGGTAAAAGGAATATTTAGTGATAGGTAGACCATTAGAAAGTTAGCAAAAGCAAGCAATAATCATAGAAGTGCTGCAAAAGATGCACACATCAATTAAACATCAAAGCATGATGAATTCATGCAATCTATCTACCAAGTGATGATATCACCTGGTAGCAAGCAATAAATCTTCAAAGAAAGCTTTTGACTGCCCTATGAGACAAACAGATTAATAGGATATATTACAGTAAATTAGACTGGGGATGTGTTGCAAGACTGTGAGAAGATATAACCTGGATATGTACAAAATTAATGGAAATATTTTCCATAGTCTGAGAATTCAGTATGAATGTCTCAAATCCTAAAAATTGCAAAGGTCAAGCAGTTATGCTTTAGCTACTACGAATGAATCATCTATGTATTTGCTAGTCAGTTAGTTGTGTTGACTATCAATTTATATAAGAAGCTAAGCCAAAACTAACAAATCATATTATAACTTAGCACATTGTATAATAACTAGCTCTGACATTCACAGTCAGTTTTACAATTTTTTTTAAAAAAAATTACTACAGCACGTGAGCTATATAAACAGCAAATATATGCCATCAATCTACTATTATATTAGTGGTTGGCTAATTCAAGGGTGATACAGAACATTGCTAACTCACTTTCCTTATGATAGATTTAATTCTCAAGTGCTTATTGCATCCAATGAGATATTCTTGGGGGTGTCAAAAAAAAAAGTCAAGATGGCAGCATCAACCACATGGTGGTTGACTTCTATTCACTTGACACCAAACCTACCTCCTGCACATGCTCATGTGTTCAACAGCTTTCAACAATGATTGATCTCTGTGACCTGTTTTTTCACTGTCTACACAATTTTTCAATAGGCGAAGATAGGGTTGTTTTTTTTTGTTTAGTGTTTTTTTCTTTTTATTGCCTTCCAAAATAGAAATTAATAGGAAGAGAGAGAAAAGAAAACAGTAAGAAAGTTATCTGGGTGAAGCCATGAGGCAGGTACATAGAACTGAAAGGAAAAAAAAATAACAAGTGGATTTGGGGAAAGAAGTAGGGTGCTGGGCATAAATGCTCCACCAAATTTGTGGACAGGGAAACTGATTTTTTTCCCAGGAGAAAGCAATTTCTCACAGATAGGACTCTGCCTTAGTCATGACCATAGCAAAAGAACTGAAAAATAAATAGCAAGAGGAATCGTTTTTATTGCCTTCCTTTGGGAGCCTGCGAAACTAGGAGACTGAAAAGTGAATAATCAAAATCATCATATCAGCTCTTTGTTGCTTGAAAATCAAATGAAAGCAAGAACAGCACTGTGTGAAAATGTCTCTCAATTTTTCTTTTTTATTAAGAACTTCAAAAGGAAACTGTCTGCTATCAAACCTAAGGAAAGTTGATAGAGGAAAAATGCAATAGAACTTCTAGTAAATATGGAGGAGATAAATTTAAAGAGTCCAGCTAGAGCTACATGAAATGAAATTGGAGATAGGACAGAATGGAAATAAACAGCTTCTAGAAGATGC